CATCTCCTCAATTTATGACTATAAAGTTTTTGGAAGCACCAAAAACTTTATAGTCATAAATTTCATAGTTCTTAGTTTGGGTTAATAAGATGAATAGGCACTGAAAATCATACTCTAGGAGCAAGATGTTTGTGATTAGGCATGAATTGACTGGTTGTTTCTTTTTTTCCTTAACATGTGATGCTTTATGTATTTTCTGTTCAGGTTTAAGAGCAGGACTAGCTGCTTCAATTGCTGGGAGTTCCATTATCAACAAAATGTTACTAGCAAATATCGATCCTTTTGGTGCAACGCCATTTATTGACCCAGATCTAGATTCAGTGTAAGAAAATGTTTTTGCAATTATTTTTCTTTTGGCTTTTCTTATTTCTTCATAATGTGAATTATAGCATATATGTATCGTGATGTATGGCTCCATATACTAAAAGAGTGATCAGAGAATTTGGAAAGGCACATTAAGCCTTTGGAAATTCAGTGGTGTCTCTGGTCTGTCCAGAGGCAGTCACTTTCCCACCTGTTCTCTTTGAGAGCACATTCTGGGAGAGGAAGCACAGGTCTGCTCACTTCTCTCTGGAGGCTTTCACTTACAGGTGCCTTTACACCTGTATTTCTGCTGTTCCCTTCCTCTTCTTTCTTCTCAGTCTTCGCCAAATCTGCCATCTTTTCATACCCAGCTTCTAGATTTTCTAATTTTGGGAGCTTTGATCACATACTGACCTCTTCCCTTCTCAAAATTTCTATATTTTTAGCAACTCAAGTTATAATTTTGGGGGGCTGGGGTTGTGGCTCAGTGGTAGCACATTCATCTGGCATGTGTGAGGCACTGGGGCACATGTTTAATCCTCAGCACTACATATAWATAAATAAATAAACAAACAAACAAATAAATGCATTGTGTCCATTTACAACTAAAAAAATATTTTTTAACAAAAGATATATTTTTTCTTTCCATTTGGCCTTTGTTATATCACACTCCATAATGACATTCCTCAAAGTACCATATTTTGAACTTCCAACAGTACTTAGAAAAATGGATTGACTCTAGTAGTTTTTTATGCAAATATTTTCCCATTGTTAAGAGTCAAAGGGGGAGAAGACTTTCTAATGGTTGAAAAAGAGGAGTAAGGCCACCTAACTACCAGGCCCTTCCCATAACCGTCTTCATCTGTCTGGTAGCAAGAGACTTATAGAGAAAATAGAAGGACTAAGACTTTGTTAAATTTAATAGAAAACAATCCATTACTCTGTCTTTGCCTTGCCCTTTATATCACATGTACCAAAAATTGTACACATGTAGTATGGCTATGCACATGGCATATATATAGCTATGCACATGGCATATATATATATATATATATATATATATATATATATATATATATATATATATGAAGTAATTCCTACCGAGCTTTACAATCTCCTGTAAGGAGTAGAAGCTTAACTGATTTTAAGTGCTGTTTTGTGAACAAATTTAATTGTTATAATGAACCTGAAATTAACCTTTATGTACTTTTCCTTATTCTCGAAGAGATGGATATTCAGAAAAATGTGTCATGAACAATTACTTTGGGATTGGATTGGATGCAAAAATTTCATTAGAATTTAATAACAAGAGAGAGGAGCACCCTGAAAAATACAGGTAATTTTGAAAATAATGTTATCACCTGAAGGTGGTTTTTACTTTAATTTTATTCATTTCTTTTGCTTGCTCTGCCTTCATGGAGTAAAATTTCCTGAAATGTCCACGGATATTTATTTTTAGGAGCCGAACTAAAAACTTGATGTGGTATGGAGTCCTTGGGACCCGGGAATTATTACAGAGATCATACAAGAATTTAGAACAAAGAGTTCAACTTGAGGTAAGTTCATGTTGAAGTAAAGACATTTCACATTATCTTATTTAGAAAACTATTTTCATCTGTAGGGCTAATATGACCTAAATTCCCCTTGATTAGTGATTAAATGTTCAGGAGGAAAAAAAGATCAAGGGAGTGACTTTTTGCTAATGTAGGTATAAACACTGGACATGAACCCACACTTCACCATCGTTGTCAGTAGCTCCTGAAAGTGGAGAYGCAGTGCCCAGGAAAATGTGGAGTCATGGGAGTACATTTATAGGATAGGGTTTTTAGTGGACTTTCTCATTTCAGTTTCCCAGTTCTGACTCAGTTCTGTAATACCCAGAGTTTCACAAATCCCTTAAAATAACTTTTATACTAAGTACAGTCTTTTAATTTAAAATATGTATTTATTTTTGTTCCAATTATTTCTAATAGCAAGTCAGTAAAAGAAAAAGATTTCGAGCATTTAGGTTTTTTTCATTAKTTTTTACTGATTTAAATAGGAAATTAAAAGATTTTAAGTCTTCTTTGATCACAGAAAAAAAATTTAAAAAGTTGGGGACATGGCTCAGCAAAGTCAATTAAACTGTGAATTTCATTTTCTTCTACCCTTGGTTCAGTCTCACTGTTTATGATGACAGGTGTGTCTTTTGTATCTTGTATCCTTTTATAACCAGATATTTTTTAAATATATCATTTAGTTGAGAGCAATTGAGCCAGTCACCTCTTTAGTTCACATTCTGGTTATGATAACACTTAAAATAACAATGCTTGGTTTGATTTACTGATCAGAATATTTCAGACCTAAGATTTATATACTTTCCTGTATGTATGATATACTTTTAAAAGCATTGGATTTTGCGGGGGAGGAGAGGTTGTTTTTGTTGTTGTTGTTGTTGGGATATGGACTAAAGAGGTGCCTGGCTCAGTTGTTATCAACTGAATGTTATAGTGAAGATAAAGACTTCCACTCTAAAAGTATAACTATGCAATTAGCTGGTTCCATTATCAGTGCCTGTTAAATTAAGGTAGAGATTACCAAATGAAAAGGCACACTCATACATTGCTGGTAGGACTGCAAATTGGTGCAGCCAATATGGAAATCAGTATGGAGATTCCTTGGAAAACTGGGTATGGAATCACCATTGACCCAATTATCCCACTCCTTGGTTTATACTCAAAGGACATAAAAACAGCATACTACAGGGATACAGCCATATCAATGTTTATAGCAGCACAATTCACAATAGCTAACCTGTGGAACCAACCTAGATGCCCTTCAGTAGATTAATGGATAAAAATAATGTGGTATATATACATAATGGAATATTATTCAGCATTAAAATAATAAAATCATGGCATTTGCAGGTAAATGAATGAAGCTAGAGAATATAATGCTAAGTGAAATTAGCCAACCCCCAAAAACCAAATGCTGAATAATTTCTCTGATTTAAGGGTGCTAATTCATAATATGCTGTGTGTTGGGGGGTGAGGATTAAATGAACTCTACATAGGGCAAAAKKGAAAGGGGGAGGGAGGTGATGGGGAGAAATAGGAGTAGGAAAGATGGAAGAATGCGATGGTCATCATTACCCTAAGTACATGTAAGAAGACACAAAGGATGTGATTCTACTGTGTACAACCAGAGATATGAAAAATTGTGCTCTCTATGTATAATATGAATTGTTATATATTTGGCTGTCATATATAACAAATCAAAATTTTTTAAAAAGATGCAAAAATCAGGAAGGATCACATTTTGTAAATGCTATTTTTCACAGCCTCATCACCAGATCAACTTAGGTGTCCTCCTGTGTCTGGTGTATTATAATCCTTCCTTTTCTAATTGTGTCTCGTCTCTAGTTGTTCACACTCCATAAGAACAGGTAGGGAGTTGTGTTTATCTTTGTTTTCTCCAGCACTTAGCACAGCACCTAGCCCTCTCTTGAGGTGTAAATGAACAGGTAAATGATGATTTAGTGTAATTTGGTAAGATGGGGTTATTAAACTCATTATAAGAGTTGAAACTGTAATTCAAAAATGATACAATACCCCTAATCTACCAAGCATCATAGCTTAAGTTTGCCTACCTCAAATGTTACATTAACCTACAGTTGGACAAAATCACATATCACAAAGCCTGCTTTATATAAAGTGTTGATTATCTGATGTAATGTATTCAATACTATACTGAAGGGAGAAAACAGAATGATTTGGTATACTTTTACAAGCTGTTCTGTGATCAAGCCCTATGATTGACCATCTTTAAAGTTTAARGAATTATCTGGAATCAGAATGTCTGGTGGGTCTTATTTCCTGCAAGAAACTTGGCTCTACAAACATAGATTTGCCACTTCAACTTGATGCCCATGTTATTAACAGGATATCTTACTCTTATACAGCTGCTTTTGAACTCCATTTAAAAAGGTTCTGAAGCAGTAGACCCTTTGACATTCTGGTAAAACTCTGGACCCCTTGTACAAATGTTTTTGAAATGCATTGTATAAAATACATAGAAACCAATAATATTAAAATAAATTAATAAAAAAAAATTTGGAGGGAGGAGTACTGGGGATTGAACTCAGGGGCGCTCCACCACTGAGTCAYATCCCAGCCCTATTTTGTATTTTATTTAGAGATAGAGTCTCACTGAGTTGCTTAGCACCTCGCCATTTGTGAGGCTGGCTTTGAACTCTTGATCCTCCTGTCTCAGCCTCCTGAGCCACTGGGATTACAGGCATGCACCACCACRCCAGGCCAATATTTTTAAATTGTTTAAAAGTAATGTATGTTTCATTGCCACAACAAGTGAAAATCTAGTGGCATGTCTAATAAATACCATAATTTTAAAGAAATGATGAACATAAATGATATCTGAAACATTTGTAATATACAAAAAAAAAACTGTATTTCTATTGACAGTGAAATTACAGGTAYTGCTAATGCCTGTTTGTTGTCTRCATTTATAACTGAGGACAATGCTAAATTCCAGAGGTTAGTGAACATAAAAGTTTTATTTTTATCATCAAGTTTAACAGTCCCCCTGAAACTATTCATGGACCCTGGGTTTCTGTACCTCAAGTTAAGATCCTTGATATAGAATTGTATGTTAAATGATACATGAAGAAACAAATTAGTAAAACAAGACATATAAAAACAGAAAAATTAAAAGTAGAGAATTCGCTGGGCCCAGTGGTACATGCCTGTAATCCCAACAGCTCAGGAGGCTGAGACAGGAGGATCACAAGTTCAAAACCAGCCTACAAATGGTGAGGCACTGAGCAACTCAGTCCCTGTCTCTAAATAAAATACAAAATAGGGCTGGGGATGTAGCTCAGTGATCAAATGCCCCTGAGTTCAATCCTCAGTACCCCCCCCAAAAAAAGTAGAGAATTCTTTGCCATTTAAAGTAAATGAAGGAACACCTTCTGTGCCCAAGAATAACAGACCATGGAAGGCCTGTTGTCTACAAATTAATTTCCCTGATATGATGGTTCACTTGAGATAAAGGTGAAGAGATAGCCCCATCTTTGGAAGCTCTTTCCAGAGAAATCTCTGCATCAGTGTCAGTCCAGAATATTGTGGTATGAAAGAAGACTGATTTCAGGGCTGGGATTGTGGCTCAGCAGCAGAGCGCTCGCCTAGCACACTAGGGACCTGGGTTCGATCCTCAGCACCACGKAAAAATAAAGCATTGCGTTGTGTCCATCTACACCAAAAAATAAATATTTTTAAAAAATAAAAAAGAAAGAAGACTGATTTTAAGTCTCAACTTTGAATTTGTATGGAAGAAAGACTTTGGTTTCTCTGTCTACACAACAAATGAAATAATGCTTCTGTGCAAATTCAGTGAGCTAAGGTACAAGAAATAACAGTGTGAACTGAAAAGAATTCTAGATGTATAAATTTTGTTTCCCAAGCCATCAGTTTTGGTTCTGATATATACCCAACTTTCAGAATCATTGACTGAGATTTATAATCTTTTGGGAATGCCAAAAATATAAGATAAAATCACAGTAACACATCTTGCTACTCTTATGATAGAGAAGTCCTTGATACTCCTATCTCAGCCTCCCAAGCTATTGGGATTACAGCTATAAATAGGAAAATCTCATTAAATTTTTAAACATTTTGATTAAGAATGGTTGACTTTTTGCCTATAATATACCTAACTTACATGTGTCAAGGAGCTTTTCCTATTTATTAACTGAAATAATGATTGCATACTGTTTTGAATCCTTTAAATACTAAGATAAAATGAAGAAAAACAAGTCATTTTTAAAAAACAAGATCCATCTGTAAGCTATAATGAAATAGGTATTGGAGAACAAATATTTGTTTAATGCATATTTTTGGTTACTTAAACTATTTCTATAATCTGTTTATACTTTGTAAAACCTAAATAAATTTTGATTTATTAGATAGAAATAGTAATTTCTATCTTTGTTTAGTTTACTTCAATAATAATTAGTCATAACTACTGGTTAAATTATTTTATACTAGTTGAATTTTACTGAATTCTGTCTATACCATCACATTTAATTGTTAGAACTTTATGAGTTAGGGCCAAGCCTGCAATCCCTGTGACTTGGGAGGCTGAGGCAGGAGGATAGAAGTTCAAAGCCAGCCCCAGCAACTTAGCAAGGCCCTGTCTCAAAATAAAAAACAATTTTAAAAAGGACTGGGGATGTGGCTCAATGTTTAAGYGCCCTGGGTTTAATCCTGGTACTTTACATAGTAGGTATTGTTATTCATTTCAGAGGAGGAACTTGCCTAAGATCAAACAGCTGATAACTGAAGGAGCCATCACTTCAAATTCACTGCTTTGTTACCATAAAACAATATGTAATCATGACTAAAGAAGGAAATTCACTGACTTCTGACTATGTGTTCTAGGTGCTTTCCTGTACCTCATTTCATTGGTCACACTAAGTGTTAGCAGTTATTAACCCATTTAACAGTTGAGCAAAATGAAGCTTTGAAAGTTTAAGGGACTTACTCAAAATACTCAGTGAGAGAATTCAAACCAAGCCCACGATCTTTCCACTATCCCACATTGCTTGGTCAGAGTAACAGAACAGGACAGATATATTTATAGACAAACACACACACACACACACACACACATATACACATCTGTCCTATTCTATACATATACACATACATATATATAAATAATATATATATACACACACATATGTATCTTTCCTATTCTATACATATACACATACATAAATAAATATACACACATGCATACACACATATGCAGATATACACACACACACACACACACACACACGGAGACAGGTATGTATGTGCATGTGCATATCTGGAGTCTCATGGCATTTTGCAACATCATGAACCACAAATGGAATGTGGGATGAATGGGACAATTATAAAAGGATATAATACTCCCGAAGTTCTTCCTGAATATAAGAAAGTTTTCGGTCATGTGATCCTAATTTGTCAAATCTGTGCTGCTTGTGTTTTTTCTATGAGACTCCATGACACAGATATTAAGTACTTCACTTGTGTTTTGCTTAATATATAATGTATTACATTTGGCAGTATACATGGCACTTCCTTCTGAAAATGTTCATCTTATTCCATTCATGCTTGCAAATAAAGTGCATCCATTAAACAGTTTTAAAATTACTTCTTTTATATTTACAGAGACAGCATTTTTTCCGTTTCCTTTAACTTAGTCGTATGAATGAAAACAGCTCTTTCTAAAGCACACAGATACCAGTTTAATGTATTGAATTTAGAAAAMGTTCATTATTCTACTAAGTAATTAATATTCATTTAACAAGTATATATTCAGTACTAGCTATATGCCAGGCATGGCCCTGAGTGCTGGGTTACAATGTAGACCTGTAAATATTGAATACTCAGCCTGTCTACTGGTTAACACCGTATCTTCGGGAAAGGAAAAGAAATTGTAAAAATCTCATGTAGAGGTAAATAAAACATATAAGGTCTCAATTATACCAGTGGTTGAAAATGGATTCAAACTAGATTCTCATTTATTCTAAATGTTAAAGACAATTTTGATTGGGCATTAAAATGCCATTTTTAATATGAGACTTATTTAATGGAGGTATAGAATCTATTTTAAATATGACATTTTTAAGTGCTTCTCTTTTTAAATAATGCTTAAGCTGGCATTGTGGCACAGGCCTATAATCTTAGCAACTAAGGAGACTGAAGCAGGAAGGTGGCAAGTTTGGAGACAATCTGGGAAAATAAGTGAGACTCTGTCTCAAAATAAAATGGACTGTGGGTGTACCTTGGTGGTAGAATGCCCGTGGGTTCAACTGCCAGAACTGAGCACGTGCAGACATACATACACACACACACACACACACACACACACTCTCTCTCTCTCTCTCTCTCCCTCCCTCCTTCCCTCCCTCCCTCTCCCTCCCTCTCTCCCTCTCCCTCCCTCCCTCTCTCTCCCTCCCTCCCTCTCTCTCCCTCCCTCCCTCGCTCTCCCTCTCAATTTGTCTCATACACACACACACACACACACACCATTTTTTTTAAGAGAGATTCGACACAACATCTTTATTTTACTTTTATGTGGTGCTGAGGATCGAACCCAGCGCCCTGCGCATGCCAGGAGAACGTGCTACCACTTGAGCCACATCCCCAGCCCAACCATTTTGAAGTCTTAAAAGATTAAAAAAAAAAAAAAAAAGGTTTAAATCTTTCCATTAAATTAAATGTTCACTTAGTTTCATTAGGTGGCTCTCTTTAAATACTATTAATTTTTTTTTTTAGTTGTAAATGGACACAATACTTTTATTTATTTATTTTTGGTACCGAGCATCAAACCCAGTGCCTCACATGTGCTAGATAGGTGCTCTACCACTGAGCTATAACCCAGCCCAAATACTGATTAAATTATTGTGATCATAAAATTTATGTAATATAATTATACTCATTTTCTTGAGTAATTTTAAATATTTTTACTTTATATATAAAAATTATACATGTAATGGGGTACCATGTTATAGTTTGGTACATGTACATATTGCATAATGTTCAAATCAGGGTAAGCACATGGATCTCCTCAATCATGTATCATTTCTTTGTAGCGAAAACATTCAGTCCCTTTACTGATTATYTACTTCTTAATAGCTGGGCTCCTAAGACTTAATAGAGTAAAGCAAACAACATTAATTTAATARATAGCATTTGTGAAAAGGTAACAATTCTATTTCTACTCAGTAAAACTTATTCACATATATAATTACTTCACCAAYGTTATTACTTTTGTCATTGTTGTTTTCATCTAAGTGGTACTTTTCATTTTCATGAGTGAGTAATGACAAGGCAAGGAGTGTCAGGTGCTTTCCAACAAGCATGTTTTTTGTTTGGCTTTGATTCTGACTCCTTGAAAAACTCAGCTTTAGAGTTTAGCCAGTAACCAGTTCCTTTTAGAGAGGTGTTACCAATGTGGGCTGGACCAGAACCTGCCCTTAAAGAGCTGCTTTCAAAAGGATGCCTAAACTCATAAAGCAAGTGAGAATCTCTCAAGTGGTCGAAAAGGATTCAAGAAAGTTACTKCCTGATTTGAGGGGAAAGAAGAGGGAAAGCATTTCTTTCTAAGTGCAGTTTTCTGCACTTAGAAAGCTTTTATTTATGCTTTCAATTTTTTTCAATTAAGAAGAAATAAGATAAATGCCTTTGCAATGTGTAGGAATGTACTTACAAGAGAACAAACATAACCAATACATTTTTCTCCCTCACTTTGGTGTTTTACTATCCTCCAAACTAGTGGTGTTGCTCTTGAAGTCTAACCTCTAGGCTTTGTACTTTGCAGTGCGATGGGCAGTATATTCCTCTCCCCAGTTTGCAAGGCATAGCAGTGTTAAACATCCCTAGCTATGCAGGAGGCACTAACTTCTGGGGTGGAACCAAAGAGGATGATGTAAGTAGCAAAATAGAAATAGAGTCTGTTACCTCAACAATGATTYAATTCATGTAATATCTTTTAAAGATGTACTTTTAATATTAATTTAATGTCAGAATGTTTTATACGGGGAAGGTATGGGGGTAGAATWGATTTGTTCAAGGTTTTATTTAGATAGTTTTTCATGGGTTTACTCTAAAATTCCTTATTCTGGGATGTAGGTTACAATTTGGGGGGGGTAAATACAAAGTCATCTACGTGAGGAAAGTAAATTTAGGATATAAAGAAGGGAAGATCTTGCTTCTTAATTTTATACTGGTATTAGTTTTCTACTGCTGCTATAACAAATTAACAYCAATTTAGTAAAAACACAGGTTTACCATCTTACATTTCTATATGGTATAAGTCTGACAAAGTCTCCCTGGGCTAATAAAATCAAGATGTCAGAGGGCTGTGTGACTTTGGAAGCAGTAAGAGAGAATCTGTTTCCTGTCCTTTCAGYTTTTAGAGGCTGCTCTTGTTCCTCCCACAGGTTGGATTTTCATTGCTTCACTCTAGTCACCTTTTCTGCCTTCCTCTTCCACTTTTTAGTGAGCCTTGTGATTACTTTGGGTCTACCCAGAGCATCAGGATAATTTTCCCATTTCAAGGTCCACAATTTAATTACATCACCAAAATTACTTTTGCCAAGTAATTAATCATCAGTTAGAAAGTTTGTTTCCTGATATTTTCAATGAAAGTTTTCAATTTGGATACTACTTTATGTTGTTTTTTTTAAGAATAATAATTATTTATGACAAAGAAAAAGAGGGGGCAAAAGAGGGAACGTCATACAGTCTAAATTTAAATTTTTAAGTAATTAATTTTGTGAAAAAGGCATCTAACATAAAGAAAAAGAAAGTTTACGTGAATTTTACCACCTGARGTTTCTGTTTCCATAGTTCAATGCCCTAAAAAGTTGTTGTATTAAGATATGAGGCACACGTGCATGCTGCTTATAATACCTTGAAAGATCTCCCTTAGAATAACCAAGTGAACTGTATMATAATTTGCATGTTCATTAGCTTTAACCTGATGAAACTGTTTCACCTTTTGGGTTTCTTAGATTTCTAAAAATTATAGACATTAGCTTAGCAAAACATCTGAATTATATATGGCAGATGTTTGCTGCATTTATACCAAGATGAATCATTTAAAAATGCATTAGTCCAAACAGTGCTTTATGTAAATGAGTCTTCTATCCCTATGCAAAATCCTTTTTAAAAATTACATTTATTTTAAGCCATCTTCAGTGATTTTTTTCTCTTGGATTATCATTTTCTAATGTTTATTTGCTTTTTGCTCACTATTTTTATGTTTCTAAATATAGACAGATAGCAGGGTTTACATTATTTGATGTACCGCTTTACCAAAATGTTCAGTGAAAATGAAACATAGTTTTTCCTTTCAGATATTTACTGCACCATCATTTGATGACAAGATCTTGGAAGTCGTTGCAATATTTGACAGCATGCAAATGGCAGTTTCAAGGGTCATTAAGCTGCAGCATCATCGAATAGCCCAGGTTTGTTTCTCTGACTATGCTTCTTGGGCCATGGAGGGCTGGGGGCTGCTATTCCAAATGACAGGTGTCCTGAATATGCTTCTATATGATATTGACTTTGCTGTCAGGTCAGTTCTTACTGTGTCATCATAAGTGGTTTAGCATAGAATTCCATTCCCACAGAATGGCCTAAATATCAAGCCTGAACACATGCAGAGATTGATGGTCAATTTCTCAGGATGACTTATACTCTAAAACAATGTGTTTTATTTCAGTGCCGCACAGTAAAAATCACCATATTTGGTGATGAGGGAGTCCCAGTGCAGGTGGATGGTGAAGCATGGGTCCAGCCTCCAGGGATTATCAAAATTGTGCACAAAAACAGAGCTCAGATGCTAACAAGGGACAGAGTATGTAACCAAAAAAAATTTATTCTGGAATTTTATCAAATTGTTTTTTTTAAATTCTAAATTGTCATGAAAAATAGGAAATGGGAAAGATTTAAATTCTCTTAAATCTGACATTTAAATATGAACAAATATTCAGTTTGGTTTTAAATTAAATATGTTTTTTAAAAGCTTTAGGCTTATATTGAGCAAAAGTACACAAGAGGACTCTAATTGTATTCATTATTCACATACATCCTTCCTCCCATTACACACATATTCCCCTATTATTAATATTTTGCATTAGCATGGTACTTTTGTTGCAACTGATAAGCCAATATTAATACATTATTAACTAAAATCCTAGTTCACATTACTCTGTGTTGTGTACCGAGGAGTTTTGACTTGTATCCACCATTATAGTGTCATGCAGATAGTTTTACGGCCTAAAACCCCTTAGGGTTCACCTATGCATCTGTCCTCCCTTATTCCTGGAAACCACTGATCTCTTTACTGTCTCCATTAGTTTTGTCTTCCCTATAGTATATATTTTTAATTAAGGTCAAACCTTAACAAATAAAACTGACAATATTCATGCTATCTAGTAAAATAGTTAAGATAAAATATCAAAGTAAAATAAAATTGTAAAGATTGAAGCATAAATTGAAGAAATAAACATTGGAATTTTAAAGTCTTTTTATTTTCAGTGATATATTTATCCTTATGGATCACATTACTCTTTTTTGTCTTGTTTTATGTTTGTGGTTTATTGAGTGAGGTGTTACAGAAAAAGAAAGCATAGTTTCAAAGATTTTCATATAATGTCTAAATACACATTTATCTGAGTCTCATGGCTGTTACACAAAACATTTACTGCAATACTACTTTTAAACAGGCCTTTGAAAGCACTCTAAAATCTTGGGAAGATAAACAGAAGTGTGACACTGGTAAGACAGTTCTTCGAACCCATTTGTTCATCCAACACGCCGTTGACCTGGCAACAGAAGAAGTGTCGCAGATGCAGCTGTGCTCCCAGGCTGCAGAAGAGCTTATTACTAGGTAGGAGGTTCTGCCGGCTTTGCAGACCATGAGAATCTCTAGTCTTAGCAAGTTTTGTTTTTTAATTTGTACTTTTAGTTGCTTGTAGAATCAAAAAGGGGTGCATTTACTGCCTCTTGTTTGCCTCTATAATTGTCGTTCTCCTTTATCAAGTCCTCAGACCAGATCTTATACTTCTGGAAACATGATTAATTTACCCTGCCACATGATACTCTCTCCGTTATCATTTCCTCTTTTACATACGGTCTTCACACTCTATTATTCACTTGCACATTGCCTTATAATTATTAACTAAATGTTCATGGAATGTAGAAAGAAGCCCAAACATTAACCCTATTCCTAAAGAGAGTCAGATTATTTAAAAAAAAAAAAAAAAAAAAAAGAGTCCTAGCACCAGTTTCTAACAAGTGTGCAACAGAATTTAGAAACCACACATAAATTAATTTTGGTAGACAGAAAGGAAGAGATAAGAAATAGATTCTGAGTATAAAATACATGAAAATCACTAGAACCAGAAGTGAGCTTCAGAGAAGAAAGACTTCTTGACTTCTCTTCACCTAAATCTTCTCTACCACATGGATATAAATGGAGCTACTTTACTGTGAAGATTATACAATACCTGAAAGGTAAAGCACATCATGTCCAGCTCTACTTTTTGGGTATCATATGATATCTATAATATGATATAATCAGAGGACGTGACAGGTTCCAAGTTGGACTAAAGATTTTAAATTGCATTACAAATATTGAGGAGGTGGTTTCATTTGCCAAGTAAAAATGGTCATCTGAACATTAATTCTTTCCCATTCTTTGAAAATGAGGAAAACATTTACCCATCTCTGTTCTTTTGATAAATTATCTATTCTCCATGGTTGCTCAACATTATTGATGCTATAATGCTCAGGTTCATTTTTAGGTTCCTTTATAATTTGTATACCAATTGCATGATCCTTAAGCATTAAATTCTTCTCTTACTCCTGAGTCAAGTGTGTAGGACTTCTGGTATTTTTCTTTTCTTTCTTGATTAAAGATCTTTCTCCTTGAAGATGTCAGAAGCAAAAAGTATTTGTCTAATCTTGCCTTCTTGCTCATCTGCAAACTTTGCATTATTTTCTGATAAACTTTTCCTCCTTCCTTTTCTTTGCCTTGGGGCCTTCTAGGATTTTTGCTTTCCAGAAACCATGCAAACTTTGCATTATTTTCTGATAAACTTTTCCTCCTTCCTTTTCTTTGCCTTGGGGCCTTCTAGGATTTTTGCTTTCCAGAAACCATTCTTAGAGGTTTGGCTACTCGAGGAGTGTGGCACAACAGGTTTTGGAGTTGAATGGAAATAGATCCTGGCTCTATCACTTATTAGCTCTATACATACACTCAGTCTCTCTGAGCCTCAACATCTTCATCCATTAAGTGGAGAAAACTAATCATAGCTACCCCTTAAAGTTGTGAACATTAAATTAGATAATGCTTGTAAAGCACTTAGTATACAGATGATATATATGTTCCCCTAATTTGTATACAGATGATATATATGTTGAATTTGAAGTTTCAATAAGTAAAAGTTTCTATTCTATATTTGTGATTCCTCTCTTTCCAATGATACTGCCAAATGAAGTATCACTCCATTTTGTTAGTAGCACTTCAAAATGCTTATTTCTGATTATGAACCTAACATTTTACATAAAGAGTTTTTAATTTTTTTGTTGCAATAAGGTCTACATTTTATAAATATATCCTGTGCCCTCCATAATTAAGCAGCCATTTAAAACTTTTTTTTTTCCTTGCTGATCTTTATAGGTTATTTTTTTCCCAACTACTTCTATACTCCAGGGGAAAAAAAATCAGCAATGCCCCCAAAGATTTTGCTCACTTGTTTTGTTTTCATTTTTAGGATTTGTGATGCAGCCACAATTCACTGTCTTCTGGAACAAGAACTGGCCCATGCGGTGAATGCATGCTCACATGCACTGAATAAAGCCAACCCAAGGTGCCCGGAGGTGAGGATCTCATGGTAAATTCTCATTCCATGGATTCTTTTGGTATTACACATATGATCTTAATGCTGTAAAATATGCCACATCCTGTGAAAGAAAATGATGTAGTCCGTATGAGTTTCTACCAGAAGCTTTTGGGAAATTTGTCACCAAATTTTTTTATTTTCCTTTTTCTCCCATGTTTTTCACTCCTGTCCTTCAGTTCTCCCCATTTTTTTCTATTTCACTTTCAGTCATTTGYCACCTTCCTTCAAGTCTTTCTCCTTTTAACTGCTATCATCTTTCCTTAGTCCTTTCATACTCTCTCTCCTGCACCTTAATCAAGGCCAGAYTTAAAAATCAAGTGTACATTCTGTTAGAGATGTTTGCTCACTTTTGAAATTGTGCACTGAAATTACTCCTACTTCATTTTGTTTTGCTGAATTTTAAGTTGATAGTTAYGTAAAATTTTTAATGCAGAAGTTAAATAATAGAAGAGATAGAACATAACTCTCTTGAATTGTAAAACATAGTACAATGGTRTAGTATAGAGAAAACTGATAGTGTTATTCTTGTAAGTAAATTGAAGTTACTTAAATTAGCATTTAAGTAAATGCTAGTTCTCAAGATTACAATCTAAAAAGTAATTTGATTGAAAGTGAAAGTCAGTAAATAGACCTAACTAGAGTTGACCCTGAACAAYAAAGGGGTTAAGGGTACCAACTCCCATACACAGTCAAAATTCTGTGTTTAAGTTTTGACTCCCTAAAAGCTTATCTTTTAATAGCCTGCTGTTGACTTACATCAAAAGCCAATTCACCCATATTTTGTATGTTATATGTATTGTGTACAGTTAGAAATATGCAAACCATGAGAGATCACATGAGTGATGATTTGCTGGAGAGACATCTGCTCAGGTGGAGGTCATTAGTGTCACATGACATTTTAAGTGGATATTATCAACACTTGAGCCTCCTGCAATTGCAATAGGAAGTGGCTATGAAATTATTATAGTAGGACAGTATTACTAAGGTTAATTTTATGCTGTTTACATTTCTCCCAACAGTGAATGGCATCATGTAAGGTTTGTTTCCATATATTTTGATGGATTTTAACTTTTTATTGGAGATTTGTGCCTATAACAGAATTTTGATAGATTTTTCTAAAAACTGTGATGTGAATTTAAATCATGAATGAATGCAATTTAAAGTTACTTACAGTGGAATCCTAGTTTAATACAGAATTATGTGTCTTTGATATTCTTCTTTTCTAGAATCTTACAAGAGATACTGCCACTGAAATAGCCATCAATGTGAAGGCGTTGTATAATGAAACAGAATCTTTGCTAGTTGGGAGGGTTCCTTTGGTAAGAAAAAGAAGTGATTGATAATATCACAATGATGAAATAATTATTTGGGCCTTACCTTCACTAGGGAATGTGCATTCAGTAGATCCTAAGGCAAGAGCAGCCCTCCGGCCTTCATTCTCGGACCTTCCTTTTTGCCGGCTTTTGCCTTCCAGAAAATATAGGGCTAAATTTGGAAGTTATGATTCAGGCTAACAGAAGTAGACATTCCCCTCATAGATGTCATTATGTGTGTATATAGCATCCCGCTCTCCCAGTCAGCTTTGAAAGACTCAGGCTTAATAAAATGTAGTAGTCATTCCTCAGCACTCATTTATGCATAAAAGTAGAGGGARTCATAGGTTTAATGCCCCAAATTAACATTTGAAAAATTATTGACATGGTTCTTCAGATTTATTTAAAGRGGTCACTGTGTAGATGCAGCATTTCAAGAACTAAATTTCAGGAAATATCCCTAGTTTAACTCAGTTTGATCCTGTAAGTCAAGTTTAGGTAAGTCTAAATCTGACACAGTCCACTGACCTAAAGCATAAATGCTAATCCAGAGTCAGTCTTTGTTTAAAAATACCTCACCATTGTCCAATGTTCTAGGATGTTGGATCTTGTCGCCACCTAGAGTTCACTTGAGGCATTTTCACATACGCTGTGGTCCCTGTGTGGCATGCCTAGAGCATTAGCTGTCTTTTCCTTCCTCATAACTATTCTAATTGATAAGTGGTGATCTCAGAACATTTTGTTTGATAGTAATTTCATCTCTGCTTGGGTAAATATACACATAAATAAAGTCATAGAAATCATTAAAGTCATAATATTTGTGCTAGGTGGTGTATGAATGGGAAGTCCTTCCCATAGCCAGCCTAAGTAATCATGCTTGAAATTTCTGTTTAATTGTAGGCCAAAAAAAAAGTGCCACTCTTGGAGCATCCTTTGCTCTGAGAGCTTAAAGGCAGGATGAAGGCCAATGCCCTTTCTGTATYCTCCTTGGGATACAGAAATACAGCTTCTATGGGACAAAAGGTAGCTGTCTCTACTATGGCCTTCCAGAACAACTTAGGGAGAAACTTGWGTTATCTCTTGATAAAATCAATGGAAATATCTACTTGGCTGTTTTGGGCACTCCTACTGTTAAACAGAATCTTCTCCTTTTCTAAAATAAGTCCTATAGGAAATCCTGTGAGTTGTGACTTAGGTTCCAATTTTTATTTTGAGGATATGTGTTTTTTCTGTTACTTGAATTACATTTAAGATAATTTCTGACAAGAACTAGAAGCATGACTTGGTCCTCAACACCAAAAGTACCCTCTTTGTGCTACTTTGTAATTATCTATCAGTTGTATTATATGAAAATGGAAACACCCCCCCCCCACACACACACACATTTCATTTTCTGTCATTGTCAAATAYAAATGTTTGATTTAAAATGTATTGTAGTTAATTTTGCCAACAGTCTTAACAATAGTGAAATCATAATAAATATTCGATCATATTTTAAATAACTAAGGTTTATCCTTTATTTTACTTTTAGAAAGAATATTACTAGCCATTTAATCAATTTTATAAAACATATCCTTAAACTAAAATGAAAGTGCTACATTAGGGTAGAGAATCTCCATATTTTTATGAATGACTAGAAAAGGTAGATATCTTTAAAAACCTAGGGGGAAAACAGCAAAAAAAAGAATGTTCACAATAAATAATAGCAATATTCTCTCTGAACTTTCAATTCTAAAAGTATATGAGCATGTATGTAGGTTCTCTGAGTTTTAAAGTAATTTATGAAAGTACTGGTTAGCTAGAAGAGACCTCAGAAATAATGTCCCTTTGTTCTATTTCTGAAAGAGAAAACTAAGGCTCCTGGAAGCAATTGCCCCTCCCTTGTTTGCACAGTTCATTAATCACAAGGCCAGGACTAGAACCCAATCAGCTGCCCTCCTGTTCTGTGCATAACAGTGTTTACTTCATCTTTAGTCATTTACATACATGCATTTCACTAAATGCTATGAATGGGTTAAAGGTGAATAACAGGTGACCAGTTAAAGTCTCTAAATGTATCCAAACCCTATTCTAGACTATTAACCACTTAGCTTTTTGGTTTTGCCCTGATTTTTACAACAGCTTTTCATCACACATTTTTCTTAGATTTATTTTCTTCTCTTAAACTCATTCTTTTAGTTTTTGAGCAGATTTTTTATACCATTTCTTTTTATGATAAGTTTATGACCAGTTAAAAATATGATTTATTCATAGGACGATCTAGATTTGTGGCACAAATCAGTAGAATAATGAAACAGATCACTAGTATAAGCATTAAGAATGGGTAAATAGATKCTTGGAATGGAGGAAGGAGGAAGGAAGGAGGAACAGAGGGAGGGAAAGGTTTACTTAGAAACATTAAAAGCAGTACTTTCTCTGTGATATTATTAAAGTCAGGTTAGCTACATATATCATCTCTGGGAATTAAGAATTAGCATAAATCTATCCAGATATTTTTAAATGAAAATATAAAGAATTGTTCTTTTTAAAAAATTCTCTCATTTAAAAATTAGCATAATAAATGAGGATGTTCACTTTCAAAATAAATTAGTTGTTCTTTTTAAGTTGGTTGCTGAGTATTGTTTTGTTTTGCTTTTTAATCTGCTGGTAAATAGCAGTTGGAATCTCCACATGAAGAACGGGTGGCTAGTGCCTTACATTCTGTGGAGGTGGAGTTACAGAAATTAACAGAGATCCCCTGGCTTTATTACATCTTACACCCCAATGAAGAGGAGGTATGTAAAATTCAGTCTGTTTCTTTATGATTATAGACCATATGACAATAGAATCTGAGCTTATCTTTGAAAAAGATATATAGGGGAAAATAGATTTCCAACACTATTCTCAAATGTACTGTTCTTAAGTAAGGAAGAAAGGTATTTTTGTGACCACAAGTATTATATGGGAATTGGTAGATTTTCATAAATACATTATGCCATGAACTTTTTTGAAGAAATCACTACTGTTCTACAATATGTAGTATTGATAACCTATTCCTATATTCTGTCTGTTAAAAGTGGACTTTTCTTAATATCCTACAGCAATTCCTTTTTRCTCTATTTGAACAGGAGCCTCCAATGGATTGCACCAAAAGGAACAACAGAAGCACAGTATTTCGTATAGTGCCAAAGTTTAAAAAGGAAAAAGTTCAAAAGCAGAAGACAAGTACTCAGCCTGGTAGGTAGTCCACATGATGGGAAAAAAATAACACATTAATGTCATTGAAGTGTTGAAAATGTTGAGAGCCAGATAGTGATGAGCATTGCCGTCATGAATGTACTAAACATCATTGAAATGTATACTTTAAAATTGTTGATATAGTGAATTTTACCATAAAAATCACATCATACCTAGAATATGTCTAAGTAGTTATGAAGCTTAGAAGGAAATGAATGGCTGCTAGCTTGCTTCTCTGTTTGGTGGATATCATTGTGTCTGTCCAGATGGGACTTTATCTTTCTCAACAGCAACTCAAGTTATCAGTGTGTAACTTGTTTTTCTTCTTCAGAGTCCAAAGTTGAGATCACTGTGATAAATGAAACACRGAAACTTTCATTGACTCCTAAATAAAGTTGCTAAATGTATTTTTCCACCTAAAGTTATATCTTCTTTTCTCCTGTTTTAAGGACATCATGTTAACCTGTTGATAATGACCATCAGCTGTGCTATCTGCATTCTCAAGCAAAATTAAACCTCTCTCTGCTGCTGTTTTTCTAGCTTCTTCTCCATCTTCTCTAAAGATGAAACTTACTGCTATTCTAGTCTGAARCACCTTCAAGTTCTGTACACATGAGAGCAAATCTTTTTCATAAGTCCTTAGCTTATAAGAATTTTATAAATTTTTCTGAGTTAGCTATCTCATTTTTAAATAATGATATAAAATCCTACTTATGATATTCATAGAGCAGCTACGGAAGGGCATTTAAAAACAAAATACAGCAAATAAGTAGGCTTTTATTAAGCTAATCCATGTTGAATAAAATGTACAAGAATAATTATACATACTGAAAAATAACATGATCAACTAATCTTAGAGAATAGTACTGACAGTTTTTAAACGACATGAAGTTGATTTAATAGCACATTTATTGCCATAATTATCAATAGCAGTAGAATCAATAAAGGCTACACTTAAAGTCAGCAAGACCTTAAACATGAAAGTGTAAAATTGAGTACCCCATAACAGATTTTAAATTCCAATTASCATTTGTAGCTCATTTCTAACTAAAACCGTTTTCATCCACTGTCTTAAGGAAATTATCAGGGCTTATTCAGACTTGCACCACTAATCCTAACGATTCAAAATAAAATTTTCTGTATGTTGTGTGGCGTGGTTAGTTTTAATGAGGAAATTGAACAAAAGCTGAAGGCATGGTGCTGCACGATAGCCAGTGTCTGTATAGTCAGACCCTTGTGCTGATTGATAGTCCGTAACCTGCATGGGAAAAAAATGGAACTATAGTTCTGTTGAACAACACCTTTGACCTTTTCTTTGCTAGCACTGCTGCTGCACTCTGTTTTGCATCTCCTTTGGCCAACCTTTGCTTTGTAATGCATTGAGCATGTAGAAATTAAGGGGGTTTTGCTCTTAACTTTGGTAGTTCAGAAATGGGGCACTGAGGAAGTTGCTGCTTGGCTGGATCTGCTCAATTTGGGAGAGTACAAAGAAATCTTCATCCGTCATGACATCAGAGGGGCTGAACTTTTGCATCTGGAAAGGCGAGATCTTAAGGTATTTCCTTTGTGCTATTCTTCTGCTCTTGAAATTTTTTCTTGCAAAACAGAATTCTTTCTCCTGTGCTTCTTCTGTTATGTGCTTTCAGCTTGGCTTGTGTTATGCAAATGTGCAGTAATCTAATATTCCCTGTCCTGTGGTCTGAGGTCCTTGTGTGCTTTCTAAACAAGAACGCGTCAGCAATATTTTCTTGTCAAAATCATTCTGTATTATAGCTAACACACTGCATGAGCTTAGTAATTTTTCTCTGCATCCACTTTTGTGACTTTCTGTGCTAATATCTCCAAATGGGTCATGTTTCCATCAGCTCATTGGACTGGATCAGCATGGAAGGGGGTAATTGTTGCTGGGAAAAAAAACAAAAAAATCTAATATAAACTTAACAACTAAAGACAAAGCCTTTCTATTATGTGGGATATTATGAGAGACTTATAGCAATTGCTACTTAGAGTTCTCTGATTTTGTTTGATTCTAAATTGGCCTTTCATAGGTTGCATCATCAACTAGACCAATTAATTCAAACTCCCTTGAAGCAAAAATTACATATAGCTATGCTAGAAAGCAGTTCAGAGTRTATTTGTTATTTGGGACAGGGAAGGAAAATCATTTATCAACTGTCTGCAGCAATTCCCTTTTCTTCTTTGGGTTGAAACTCAACAGTAGAAACCGCCCAAGTAGCCTGTTTTGTCTGCTAAGAGTGAAATTTTTATCATGTTAAATTTTCTTGCCCCATGCTGCCACTTAAAAACTATAATAAGTAACATTGTTGGAACAATCCCTTTATCGTAGACCAAGTTTTACAATGTCTAGAATTATGGCAGTAAATTCCTAACACATCCACAAGCTATTGTGCTTTGTCTGTTTAAGTCAGMAGAAATCTTTGAAGAGRTAATGGTGGTATAAAATATAGGTCTTTATTGAGTAGTCAGTTTAGCACATCAAAAGGTGAATACCATTTATACCCAAAAATCTTTAGCTGGAATAATAATAAAATAACAGGTAATTAACTTGATTGAGAGATCTAATTCTGGAACAGAACAAAGTATACAATGGTAGAGTTGAAGCCAAGATTAACTTCAAAACTTGAAATGAGTGCACAAAAATAATAAATGTAGGGGATCTTTTCAGTAAATTCATATAGCTTCTGCTACCCTGGGCAGGCTACAGTACTTATAATGTAGCTATTCAATGTATTACCGTATTGTGCAGTTTCTCTAAATGATATCTGTCCTCTAGAGGCCKGCATCTCATTGACCATAAGTAAGCATACATTCAAAGAAAACCCTCTGTGTATGTATAAAAAATACATATTTAAATAGGTCTATGTGCGTGTGCTGTGTGCTATATAAATGCATATATGTTATACAAATACAGGCACAAAAACACAGAGAAACATACATGCACACACTGAATGAAGCACATATTTACAGAATGACAAAACAAATCTCATATGTACACTGAGGAAAACTTGGGTGATAGGACCTGTTTAAGGAAAAAAATAAAATAAGACKAGAAAAGAGATGGTTTAAGAATTATTTTAGTAAACTTTCTCTTTAGCTTTTCATGTTGTTTGTTTTTCATTTTTAATGTAAATTATATTTTCTCCCTGAAAACTTTTTAGAAATTTGTATTGACACTGGCCTTTTTAACTCTTTTGGTTGTGAAACAGAGTGTAGGGGGGTGGTAAAAGGACATTTTTTTTTTTTTTACAGAAAGAGCCTTCTGTAGCACAAAACCATGAAGCTAGAGAAGTCTCCCCTGACATTCTGTGGTTGTGGCTGTCAGAGCACAGAACAGCCTCTCAATGTTGGTGAAGGATTACCTGCCCCTTGGGTCATCTCATCCATCCCTGTTCCTTCAAATGCTACTTGTGATTTTATCAATGGTACACAAGTTATATCTGTCCCTGCCTGATGTCATTTATGAACTTCAAGATTATGTCACCAACTGTCCACTTGATACTTGAGTATCACACAGGGACATAATTTTGACACATCCAAACCAGGCTCTTGATCTCCTATCCCACTCCTATTGAGCCCCTTTGTCAGTGTTGAGCATTTTAGTAAATCAAGCCTCTGGCTCTCCAAGTGCTAAAGGCCAAGAAATCCAGAGTCTCAAGTTAACACCTTTCTCTTCCTTATCCACGCCCCACAACCTATCAAGCCTCTCACCATATCACATTGATCCTAGTCTGCATTCGTTACTCTAATCTGTCTATAATCCTGCTCCACACTACTGTCACATCTTGTTTGTGAAAAAACTCATTAGCTTCCCAACTTGCTTTTTTACTGCTACTTTGTCTCCCCAGTCCATTATCCACATTGCAACCAGAGTGATATTTTAATATCATCAATCTAGTATATCTAGTTTTCTGTTTAAAACCTTTCAGTGACTTTCCATTGCTATGAGAATAAAGACTTACATGGTTATGGAGGCCTTTGAGATTCTTCCAACTTACATGACCTCCTGTAGAGTCTCTAACCCCTCACTRCCTTAAAAATGCAACATGCCTTCTTACTTAGGGATACCCTCTTTTGCTGTGCTTCTCCCCTTCGCTCCACTTGGCTAACTCCTACTGAGAGGCTAGCTTAAATGTTACTTCTTTATCAACAAAAACAACTAGAGATGGCAGAGTGACCATCTAAAGTTGGAAAAAGCGGGCAGGGATGTACTCAGTGGAGCTGCTTGCCTAGCATGCACAAGGCCCTAGGTTCTCTCCTTAGCACTGCAAAAAAATAAAAAAATATAAAAATAAAGAATAAATAAATAATTAAAAGAAAGCTAGGAAAGAGAATACATGTCTAAAATGCTTTAACAGATGAAGAAGCAAACTGACCGTAATATTTCTCCTGCTGGAACACAGTAGGAGAAACTGGGGGATGTCAGAGAAAATGATAAAGTAATGGTAGAGGGAATTTTGTTTATTTTTTTGCTTGGTAAATTGTGTATATGTAGGATAACTGAAAACATATGCTTTCCAAAACTAGGGCTATTAATCCAAAGAATGAAAAAACCAATAGTAAAGAGTATGATAAAAATAAGTATAAAAATAAGTATAAAAAAATAAGGGCTGGGGTTGTGGCTCAGCGGTAGAGCATTCTCCTAGCTTGTATGATGCTCTGGGTTTGATCCTCAGCACCACATAAAAATGAATGAATAAAACAAAGATATTGTGTCCAACTACAACTAAAAAAATATTTTTAAAAAAAGTATACAATAATATGTGACAAACAATATATGATATAAAAAATACAAGAAGTGTTACAGCATAACTTTATCACAGTTTAGCTTCTAGGAGACATGAAAGTACTGAATTCCAACTGAAGTAAAATATAGCTAAGAAGGTTATGCCATTCTATGTTACATTATAGAAAACATTGATCTCATTATACCAAAAGATTAACTCTGAGAGYGGTCTACCTCATTACAAAGAAGTTTTTATTCTGGAGAATACAGTGTGTATATGGCCTAAAATAAAATATTTAATTAATATTTAAATATATTTTGTAAGTAGATACCTGCATTATCACAAGAATAAAATATACTTAAATATTCTAATTCAAATAAAAAAACCTAAATAAGACTGTAAATGCATTTACATTCTAAATCTAGATAACATACACTGGTATCTTCCTCTAGGATATGGCCATGCTTTTAAGTCTGATCTTTATCATATACTCAGAACATGTATAGTCACCTTATCTAATTTTTGGATGTCCTAATATATGAGAATTTTTTCTGGGTCAATTAAATATGATAAAAATGTCACCTTTTAATTATCTCAAGCTCAAAAATAGCACTACCTTTAGAAAGAATGTTTTCCAGAAGGATCAGAATCACCAGTAGCTTTGCTGCAGTRGAGCTCAAAAAGCTCATCAAGTGTAGGGAGAAAGCATGTGTACATGTGTAGACTTAAACACGTTTGATCTACTCCATTTAAACGTTTTAAAATAATGCTCTTAAGTTACGGAACAGGGTGGGTATTTGAAATCACCTTTTCTGACAAGCAACGTGTGGTACCTTGTAATCCCGTTTTTTAGTTGCTATTTACTCATCTTTTTACTAATTTTCAGACATCTCACACTATTTTGTGAAGAGGTTGTTTGACCTCACACATTAACAAACTGATTATTTGTTACACTTGCAGAAACTATAGGGTTTAGAGGCCTTAACTCTTGTAGTTTTGTGGATCCTAGATATTATTTTAGTTGGATGTTTCTCCTGCRATAAGCATTTGCCATGTGCCTACTACACACCCATCAGTCATCTTCATTCTTGAAAGATGAATATTCAATTCTTGGCACTTATAGAAAGGCAGTCCTTTAAGAAAGGAGAATAATAATTCCAAGATACAAAACTATTAGTATTTTGAGGGAAAGCATCAACCAGCAGATACTTGTATTTAAGTAATTTTTACACATATATACATTACAAAAAAATAAAGAATATTTAAATTAGATATTCTATGCAAATCAAAGACTCTCGATGCAACTGCAAATGCATTCCAAATAGGTAGCAGGTACTATTGTCTTCCTCTAGGATTCGGCCTCACTGGAAAGAGCTAGGTATGGTGGTGCACATCTGTAGTACTTGGGAGACTGAGGTGGGAGGGTGGCTTGAACTTGGGAGTTTAAGATCAGCCTGGGCAACATAGCAAGACCCCAGCTCAAAAAAAAAAAAAAAAAAAAGTTGCACAAGAAATGTGTAGTTGTCTTAGAACTAATTGTGGATGCCCTGGTGTCCTACCTCATTCGCCCCAGAGATCCCAAAGGGCCTGTCTTAAAAACAGAGGTTTGGGAGGCAGGGGAGAAAGAAAAACTATGTTCATTTTGACACTTAAAGAACTGCCCCCTTGTATATAATTTGTATGCAAATCAGAGGAGTTTGTATGGGATGTGATTTTTTTTTTTTTTACTGATTGATCATTTTTCATTGTTATTTTTGTTTCATTAACTTATTTTTCTAACTATCACTTCCTATATCATTGAATATAAACTGACATAGATGAAYTGAATGCTAATTATGTTACTTGCTGGTTAAAAATTTTATCCACAGTTTTATCAATAAACTTTGTCTTCTTTCTTTCTTCCTTTCTTGGTTCTTTCTTTCTACCTTTTTCTTTTCTTTTCTTTTCTGTTTTTTTTTTTAGGACCTGGGGATACCGAAAGTGGGCCATGTGAAGCGAATTCTGCAGGGAATTAAAGAGCTTGGAAGGAGCACTTCCCAGTCTGAGGTGTAATACTGGTGCTATTCCTTGGAAGAGAAGTAATTGCTACTCAATACAAAGTTCTTGGAAGCAATTGGCTGTTCTTGTAGTTTTCTGCATAGATAAGTAAGCACCACTGAAGCACCTCTATGGCTTGATATTTTATTATGGGTGAAATTTTTGATTTGAGGTTTTAGAAAATATTTTTGTGCCAAAAATACATTCCATAAAGCCATTTTCTTATTGTGCAAACCTGATATGTTCAAATATGCTCATAGTTGGAAAAAAGTAGGAGGCATCCGAGATAACTGCATTGTCTAAAAGTGGAATTGCTACTCACTTACTTTCCTTAGATCTGGTCTGATAGAGGGTTCTTACTGTGCAATCACATAAAGGTGTGTGACTAAAACTTCTTGGGTTTCATTGTTGGAGGAATTGGCTTCTTTCTTCAAATCATTGGTTAGGAGACAAAGATATACATTAAGTTGTGGTTTGAATGTTAGATTGGTATTACCATAGGTTCAAAGCATTCACTGGTCAAAGAATATGGTTAAACCAACCTATCAAATACTACAAATAATGCAGATCTTAATGCACGGAGTTCCTGCCTGGATTGTCTTTCTTTTTCTTGCATGTCATATTGTAACACTTTGGTAGCCTTAATCTCAGTTTTAGTGGAATTTGATTTATGACTACCCAAGTACCTTTTTGTTGGTTAAGGGACTGAACTTTTCTGTTCTATAACGTGGAATTTTATATAAATATTCTATACCTAAGATTTTGTGAACATGTGTCTGTGCCATAATCAACAAATGATATACATCTTATGCAAGCCAATTTTATTTTAACTTATCATACATAAACCATAGGTATGCACATTCAGAAAATTGTCTGGATATTTTTATAAACTTACATGCTGTTATCTAACAGAACTTATTACAACTTTCCAAAGCAAAATTTCCACATTTTGTTCCTATTTTTCATTTCATTTTAATAATCATCTAATATTTTGTTTGAATTTATAACAGACTGTTGACATCTAGGAATTCTGCAAGGTCTCAACTGAAATTTTTATACTGATTRGTCACCCAGACTCACCCACTAGTTACAGTGACTTCTGACATGAACTTCCCAACAGAAGAAATTTAAATTCTTAAGGGCTTTCTTCTTATTATTAATAATAATTATTATTATTATTTCACATAATTCTTATAACCTATCAGGTTGATTTTCTTTCCCTTTTTCTAAACCACTATACATTAGAGTTGCTCATTAGAAGTCAACATTACAGTTATCAAATATTTGAAAGCCAAAGGCATACATATCAAGAAGCCACAAAAATATTCTTAAATAAACTTTCTTTAGCCATTATAATGCCAAGAAATTAATTATACTATTTTTAATGTTCTATGTAAGAAAAATAAACAGGGTACTGACCCAGTGTGACAGTTTTCATAAAGTAACCTGGGAGGTGCTCAATAGCTATACATGCACACTAGTGTACATATACACATATTTGTGTATATAYACCTACACACATATACATATTATCTTGAGACATAGTATCATTGGTATTTTCTAGACAATATTCCCCAGTGTTTTAAGAGAAATAGTGATCGAGGAGTATTTAAAGTGAACTATTGACAGACATACAATTTACCTCAAAGGAACTTAATTATGTGATAGTTTGTTCTTATTTATAACTTGGGTATTTAACTGGTAGTAAAGTCACAAAATTTGGATATCTTAGAAATAAAAAAAATGGGAGGGCTGGGAACATAACTCAGTGGTAGAGCACTTACTTGCCTAGCATGTGTCAGGCTGCAGGCTCAATCCCCATCACTGYAAATAAATAAATAAACCCAATGGGTCCCATGTCTGACTTTTTACCTAAGTTGTGGACAAATGGAAATTTTCCAAAGGGAATTTATGTCAAGTAGTTTAAAGGGGTGGTTAAATTTTAATTTTATCCACTCCTGTGAAGCCAGGGGTCTCCTTTTCCAGTCTTCTTTGTAGTCCCCACCCTATATGTTGTCCCTGCTCCATGTGCTTCCTCCCTTTGAAACTAAAATACCAGGTGCCAGATCCCAGAACTCTCTTGAGACCCTGATCCTGGTCCAGGTCTCAAGAAAGGAGGGGTGAGAGGAACTCTAGTATTAAGACAGTGCTAATATAAAATATAAAAATCTTTATTGATCCCCTCTCAAAAAAATGAATACCTCTTTGCTAATAGAAAAGATTTATAAGCTATTACATGTTCTGAATTTGAGTATGATGTAAAGGATTGAAATTTTTCTTGTTGTTTGACCATTTTGCTTAGGTAACATCTTTTAATTTCTTTAAAATCTCAGTTACTAGAATCTTTAACTAGAATTTTTCTGCAAATGGCTCTTGGATGAGGGAAATCCTTTAGAATGACAATTTGGATTTTTTATTTATTTATTTTTTTGTTGTTAAATGATAGCTATTTTCCCTGTAAGGTCGGTCTGCTTGTCTGCATATGTCTGTGCAGGACTCAGATGACTTCACTGACACCTGTCACCAGCATGGCACCGTCAGAGCCTCCTGTCAGCATCACAGAGAAACCATCTTCTTATCCTAGTTGGGGTTTACAAACCATCAAGTGGGAATTGCTTCTCCCTGGCATGGGATCACAGCCTGGGATCACAGCCTGCAGATGGCTTCTCTGCTTAGATCCATGCACACGCTTACGTTGAGAAGCTCACCCGGGCACTGATTGCAGCTGTAGCTGTCACTGCTCCTCCTCATAGGTTCTCCCACKCCTGGATAATTAGGGCGTAGGTGGGAGAATCACAGCCCAAAKCTACTTTCCCTGACTTTTACTTTCCCTGAGGAAAATTGCTTTTCAAAAAGGAAAGGGACAGGGTCARTCCTAAGTAAAATTCCAGACTTCTCAGTATTCCCCATTCATTGTCTCTCCACCTCCCTTTCTCAGTTTCTTTCCTACTTTCTGGCTTTGCATTTTCCCATGCCTAACATAGTAATGGCTGCTCAAAGTCTCACTGCCTTCCCACCATCCTTTGCCAGTCAGTTGCCCTGTGTAAAATGTTCTCTTTTCTCTCATCACCATAGCAGAGTTTTCTTCTCAATCCTTATTCTTAACCCTGTTCTAGATGGGGTCTTCCTACCTAATGGGTTTATCTGGGTAACTAAGGTGGAGCATAGGAGATTGGCTAAGCAGCACAGCTGAACTTTCTCCAGTCCCTCACTGTACTGTAAGCCAGTAGCAATCCATCTGCTTAGTTTCTTGCCCCTGTGGCATGTTTGTTTATTCATGACAAGTCACAAGGGACATTTCAGAAGACTATGTACTGAGATAAGTAAAGATTACTGATCACTGTCCTTCAACTTGTTCATTTTCATTTTCTCTTATCATTAGATTACCCTGTTGCCATAGTGCATGCTTGAAGACACATAGCACACACATTAAATGAATCATTAGGCATGCAAAAAAAAAGGATCAAAATGATTACAAGTAAAACAAATGTCTCATTTATTCCCTCAAAGTAGGCGTGTCTTGCTAGATTTGGATCTGTGTTTCTTACACTAACTTATCTTGATTTTCACATGGCTAATAATTTCTTTAAATGGTGCCTGAAAATAATACATTCTTGGCCCCTAAATGCAAATTATTTAATTCTAAAATAAAATCTTTCCCAATGACTTATTGTCAGGAATCCTTCACTTAATAATTCACATAAAATTTAACAAAACATAACTGCCTAGAGATTCTTTTTGTGTGTGTGTCTTCGGTCATTACTTTATTTTTTATTTGGTTTTTTTTTAGATATACATGACAGAATGTATAATAATATGTCAAAATACTCTAATGCCTAGAGATTCTTAACTAATTTTTTATAAATAATGATGGCACTGTTTTAGACTCTATGGGTTATTTTTGACAGGAATACAAGTTATGACTTAGCAATTATAGGAGCTCCCTCCATACAATACTTCTAAAGTAAATAATCTACTATATTCAGCTGGGCTAACAACGTAGTGAACTTTCACGTTGTTAGGATTTGAGTCTTTTAATTAAACCATGAGAACGATACATCTTTCACCTTGATGCCATGKATCCTTCCCACCATCCCCACCTCAATGAACTAATTTTACATTTTTTCAGATGGAAGTTGGATAGACAATGAATTTAGAGTTGGATAATACCAGTGGCAGTTTTAAAACATCAAGTTCTCCCCCAGGACAGAAAGAGGAAAGTGAGAAGTAGAAATTCCTGCAGTAGGAACCATTAGCTACTGGATTCACCCTCCCTGGTGGCTCCTACAACTTGGCTGCCACACTTCTCTCACTGCTCCGCTCCAAGTGCCATGAGGCCTAGGTCTTGACTGTTGCCAAGGAGACATCCCATGACTGACTTTGTATAACAGTCTCCATGTCCTATCAGTAATAGGGTGCCTCCCTAAGGAAGCAACCAAATCTTTAAAAAGGTGATGATTATTGGCTTCTACAATAAGCAAAGCCTAAATTTTATTATCTTTATTACTGTTTTCTCATTTTTCCAAGTTTTGTTTAGAGATATTTATATCAGAAGAAAAGAAGTACAGAGGTTTATCATTATAGAGAAGAGAGATTAAAGACAGCTGGACTGTACCTATTTGTATAATTCTGTCAATTTCGGGAAAAGAAGTTTAACAATAACTGGGACTGCATTAACTCACTAATAATGTTTAAGATAAACTCCATATTACAGTATGTAAGTTAACAATTCCCTTTATGTAACTAAGTATTCTATTTACATTATTTATATACTCTCCTAATTTCTTATGCACTTCCAAGTTTTAGTTGGAAAAATAAAAACAAAACCACTACTAAGACTTTTTAAAGCTACACATAAAATATTTCATTTTAGCAACAAGTTATTCACTGTTTAGGAATTTATAGTCTGGGTATTTCATAGTAACTGCATTTCAAGAGTAAATTAACCAAATCTAACAGAACAGAGTTACTTTTAAAATTCATTAAAATAAAGGGGTTTCATACTCAGTTGATAATGCTATTAAAGTAGGATAATGCAGTTAGATATACAAGCTAACAGGGAAAAAGACTATATCTTGGGGCCCTTAATGTTTGATTGCACTATTGTTTTACACAACTTAGCCATATCTATTTCTATACTCTAAGTATTAAACTAATWTGTAGCTAAAGATTGCTTGCAGTTCTGGTAACTGGTAACTAGTGCTGTGAAAGGTTTTGGTATTGTAACATTCCCAGTTTTGTGAGTTATATATTGTATATTGAAGATGACTAGTTAATTGGAGTAATATATTTATCTAGAGCTGGGAAAATATGGTAATTATTTTCAAATCTTTAATAAGTTGTATTAAACTTTTTCTTTCTCTTATGCAAGGTTAAAGTCTTACTTTTTGTTAACACGTCTATTTATACAACAGGTTCCTCCTTTTGCTGGTGTTATTAATTTTCATACTAAAATGTTTCTTACCCTTTTATATCAAAATAATTATCGCTCTGGTTATTCAAATTGCCAGGGTATATTTTAGTTTGCAGGAYTTTTGGCAAACAAGATATTTAATAACAAACAAAAGCTCTGTATATTTTGTGGCTTTAAGGGCAAAAATTTTACCTTTGAATTGTTGTATGTGAGACAATGCTGACAACAGCAACGTCAATCATAGGCAGTATTACTTATAACCATTGGAAGGTTTTCACAAGTTGTATAAATCAGTTCATTTATTTATTATGTTGTGAAATGTAATCTTTATACAAAATGCATATTCTAGCTCTTTTCCTTTTTACTGCTGTTGCCTAGAGTGTAATAGCTCTGTTAATGATTTACTTATATACTTGAAGTACTCATTTCTGTCAAACAGATGCCCAATTTTTTTCTTGTAAAAACTGATATTCTTCATCATAATAGATAATTGAGCAGTAGGGACTTTTAAAAAATGATTTTCATGTCTAAAATAAGTATCAAAGGGCATAAATCCAAAGGAAGTGAGCAATGTTAAGAATTTAATAGAGCCAAGGGATTCATTATGCTACAGTTTACCAATATATAACACGTCTTCGTAACTTTTTTCCTGTGATGAATTTTCAGTATTTGTTATAAGAGATTATACTGCCAATACAACATTTAAATGAACATTGAGAATTTGAATTCCCCAAAGTATCACATACCTCTAGYAGTCAGGTCTTGGTATATATTTTTTAACATTTTTGCATTGGACTATGAGCTATTTTACAAATAGTAACCATGGATAATGGTTATTTGTTTCTGTCAAATATATAAATGAAATTTTAATTGAGTTTTGAATCATTTCTATTTAAACGTGTTCTCAATTACATTGTTTAAAAATCCAACTTTTAAAACACAATAGCACAACTTAACCCCACAGAATAAAATCACCTGTTTTCAAGGAAGTAAAAACAAGGGGAAAAGGAAAAAAAAAAAAAAAAACTCGGTGTGAAGCCATGTGGTATGCCAAAGAAATCACTTGAATAACCCCTAAATTCCACTGTTTCATTCTATTTTACAGTGGGCAAGGTAGATGAATTGTGATATATTTAAGAATTTATATTAGAAGATTAAGGAATTAGTTTATTATCATTTTTAAAGACAGGGTTTTATATTAATTTTACAGTTGCACAAGCAATTATCAAAAGTGGGAAAGTGAAAATATGTGAGAAACATTATATAGACATTTTAAGAGATGGGAAACTGCTGATAGTTTGACAAAGATTTGGGAATAGTTTGAATATAGTTATTTTTCAGCTTATAGAAATACAAAGCACATGCGAGATATATGGTATGGTGGGCATAATACCACAAAACAAAAAAAAATGGCACATTGATGATATCAGAGACTATATCTAGATTTTATCAAAATAGCTAATGAATTCAGGGATCCCATTTTACTGGTGAAATTTAGAACTTTTAAGGAAGKAGTTAGGATGACTAATTGTTCAAGACATTTGATATAGTCCACACAAGTGTTTATTCCATGGGACAGATGTCTGTGCTTTTTCAACTTAGAGTCTCAGAGAAACTAGTCCAAAGGGCTTAGCTGTTTCCTAATAAAAGAACACTGGGTAAATGTGAATCAGACCTACACCATRCAGACCAGAGATTTTCATGCAGTTGTTAAGCCCTAAAATTTGTTAGCAATGAGTTTTCATTTAAAAGAGCAAAAAATCATTAAAAGTTATAATCTTTGTAAAGATCTACATTCTGTAATTCTAGAGATGGGAATATTGTCAGTTTACCTGATTCCACAACTGACTTCAGCAGTGGCTCATCATGACCTTTTCTATAAGCTGTATGTTTTGGTGCCTCTGTTTTCCCAATTAGAAATGCCACATGATATTGCCAATTATAAGTACTTGGTTAATTTTTCTGMTATAAAAGGAACTATGTTAAGTGTGAATCATACTTAAATTTGTCATTTCTTTTCTACTATCATTTATATCTAAAGAGAGACATATAGCATGAAAATTAAAAGTCAAATTTATACCATTTGGTGTGTCTTTTAAACGTGAAAGCAAAGGGCTGGCACATAGCTCAGTAGTAGAGCACTTACCTGGCATACTTGAGTCCTAGATTCTGTCCCCAGTACTGCAAAAAAATTTAAGGGAAAATGAAGTTAAATTAGTACCATCTGTGGGTTGTAGGCATTTTCATCTGTATGCTACAGGGTCATATTCGTTTTAGGATAAGCTAACAACTCACTTCTAAAATCTTTAAAAATTTTGAGTAATTTCATTTTTTCTATATTTTCCCCAAACAACTATTTTATAGAGGTAAATATATATATATATATTTTTAATTAAGGTCTTCCTATCTTTAATTCTCTAAGGAGAAGATTATCTTTAAACTAGTTGTTTAAAAAAATGAAATATGTCTCCTTACCTAGGTTTTTCCCTGTGATGTTACTTCCTCAAGGGTAAGCCCATTCTGAAGGGTGCCTTTGATCTATAGCACAGGTCACTAAGTGCATTTTCAGACTATGGAATAGTATTCTCTCATGCAGCACACCTCCTAAACTTCCCATAGAGAAACTAAGCCAGAGGTTGTCTTAATTGTTGCCATAATAGAAATCTGGGCACAATTAAGGTAAATAAATGCAAAATTCAAATTACTTGGTTAAAGTAATTATATAAGGATAAGTGAATGCTGACTTTATTTTTGCATGACATTTGAATTCAGTCACTATCTGATTCTTAACGTGAAGCTTTCTTTKCTAAATCTGGTATATTATTATATTTATTATAGCACAATGTTTATTATASCACAGTGTTTATTATAGCACAATATGGTAACTTGAAGCTCCTGTAGCAATCCCCTCCCCTAGAAATGTGGAATTATAAGAGGCTATAAGGTGTATGACATAAAAGAAAAGACCTAATTGGAATTTGTCGACATGATATTTTGATCTGTCTTAATGATACAACTTAATTTTCAT